AAACCACTCTCAAGATCATCTTCTTCTTCATCCAAAAATCTTGAAATTTGCTTGTGTTTCAAGAGGTTTTCATCAAGTAATTCATCATCTAAGGTAAGTTGATGACTAATCCATGATCTAGCTACTTCATTTCATCAAAATCTCTTCTAAATCAATTCCAACTTGTGATCTTGCACCTTAGAAGTCACTAAACTCGAGATCTACCAAGAAGACTTGCTAGGATCGAACTTTTCTTCTTTTCTCTCTTCAAAACCGAAAATACAACTCAAGGTGAGCTTTATACCCCTCTCTTTTCGGTTTTTATATGTTTTATGGGGGAGAATACAAGAAAATATGTAGATCTATATGTATATGTATGCTATGTGTGATTTCATGCATATATGTGTGTGATTTTATGCATGTATGTGTGTGATTTTATGTGTTTTTGTGATAAATATGTAACCAAAAGGGTGTTAACTCTAGATATATGACTTGAGTAAGGAAATAAACATAATCTAAGTTATTTTACACTAAACAAGTCAAGAAAAATAGCTTACAAGGTTATGAGAAACATATTCTAACATAAAACCCATTTTAGGGCTTAAATTGTCAAAAATACAAAACTTGGGTTAAAAACTGTCAAGTCACGGTTTCTTGAGGGTGAAAAGAGTCAAAACAGTTTCTATAATCATTTTTCTGAATATTAGAATTTTCAAAGGACTTGAAATGCAAAAATTTAGCTTAATGGACTAAATTTGGGCTTTTCGGCCCAATAAGCCCATAATTGCGAAATTTTGAAGTTTAAAGGGGATGAAATGTAACATTCTGCAAAACAAGGGATAAGAAGTGTAATAAAACTATTTCAAAGGTCAAAAATTCTTTTCAATTTCAAAAAGGACCAAAAATGTAAACTTTTTAGATTTTAGGGTCAAAACTGTAAAAGTTACGAAAAATGGGGTCAAACTGAGAAATACCATTCTGGAAGCGCTAAAGCTGTTAACAAAACTAATTTTGGGTTAAAACTGTCTTTTCAACAAGTTTATGATACAAAAGTGTCAAGAAAATGTTTTAAGGACTAAAAATTAAATTCTTTTAGATAAAGGACTAAAAGTGTTATTTTACAAAAGAAAGGTAGTGAAAAGGTCAAAATCATACTTTTAAACAAATTAATTCATTAAGACAAAATACAAGATACCCAACTGGCGACAAAACGGAAAAACGAATACACCTTCAATACCAAATATCGTTATAAACGAATTGATTCGCTCTCGAATCAATACAAAACAACAATCGTTAAATCAAAACTCTCCAATAGTTATGTGATGACTAAAATGAATAAACCTACAAACGTTGGGCTTATGAGTTTCAAATCATGCTTGTTGGGCCTTGCAAGCCCATCAACATGATCTTTGGGCCTAAAGGGATAACGCTTATATGTTATTGGGCCTTCAATGACCCAATATTTTATAAAAGGACTTTCAATAGCTTTTATGTGATAGTGGGCCAAAGTCTCCCGTTAGAAAAGCTAGTAAGGTCACAGTAATCACATGCGAGTTGGACCATCGTGTCTTTCGCATCATGTAACACCCCGTTTTTAAAGTATCTAATCATGGAATCCCGAGATCAAGAGTAAGGGCGTTCGGTCTTTCATGAGCAATGAGTTATTATTCGGGAAGGTTTCGGATCGGGGTGTGTTGCTAGAAGCGTAGATCTTCTCGCCACCTTCCGTGCATATAAAGTTCGTCGGAAACGGATCTAGAATGAAGGAGTTATGATACTTTAAAGATATTGACATTTATGGCCCATAATGGAAAAATTGATGAAAAGGACCATCCATGCGTTTGGGAACACGCGTGGGTACGCCCAACATAGTAGGGTGAGTGATCGCGGGTATCAGGATGCGTACGCCTAACGTACTAGAGTTACGCCTAGCGTACGCCCAGAGTCATTAAACCCTAATTTTTGGGACATCCACTATAAAAGGAACATAATGGTTCTCACCCTAGCCTCCATAAACATTCTCTTATCCTCAGAAACCCTAGATAGCCGTCCCACCTCCATTGTTGGGTGTGTTTGACCTTGGAATACCCATTTTGGTGGATTAAAGCTTGGAAGCAAAGAGAAGAAGGTTGGCAAGGAGGAACCTTTGAAGCTAGAGCTTGTAGATCCGGGGTAAGTGCTTCATTTCAGACCTCTAGTACAAGTTTATGGACCTTTTTGGTCCCAAGTTTGGGTCTTGGTGGGTTAAGCTCATTTCTAAGACTAGGGTTGCCTCCCTTAGAGTCATATGAGTCCCATAAGCAGTAAAGTTCCAACCTTTGGGGTTCTATTAAGCCCATGCATGAGATCTAGTCCTTTTCTTAGATGTAGAAGATCATTTTGGAAGTTTGAGTTGGTTTGAGCCATATTAAGTCACAAAGTCAGTGACTTTATCGTTTAAGTCGTGAAATAAGACCTGGATCTGAGTTTGTAGCCCTTGGAATGGAGTAGTGAGCACTTAATGAGGAAATGACTTAACAGAGCACTACGATGAGCGTACGTGCAGGTACACCCAACGTACTCGTCATGGAGTTGGTATGCTAAGCGTACGTTGAGTTACGCCCCGCGTAACGCTGCCAGTTGGGCCTTGAGTTTTTGGGTCGTGGTTTGGGGGCATGTTTGGGTATTTGGGCCTTAGTGGGCCATCAGAAATCATATTATATGGACCAAGGAATATATTGTGAGCTTAGGATGAGGCCCATTAAGGGATTGGGCCCAATGTAGCAAATTGGGCCATTAATGGGTCACTAGTGGGCTTGAGAAGCTTACCTAGTGTTGGGCCCTTCATATTCTGGTGTTGGGCCTTAGTCATGGACCAGTTCCGGTTAAGGGTAAAATGGTCAATTTACTCTTGGAAGGATATTGTGCTTGAGCTAATGATTGTTTTGCTGTTTCGGATAGTTCGGGATTCTCGGTGAGGCGGTGATTCGAGCATCTGCTTCTTCAGTTCAGAGTTTCGGCAGTTGCGAGGTGAGTTATCCTCACTATATCGACAGGGTCTAAGGCACCAAGGCCGGCCCTTTATCGGATTGTAATCCGGGTATCGTTGTTATGTTATTGCTTTGCTATGTTTGCATCCTGGTAGTTAGGGTGGTATACGTTAGAGACCCGGTTAGGTCGGTATCCTAGTTAGGATGATATTATGTTATGTGATCTGCTCGATCGGTGTGTTTGGATGTGAATTGCTATATGATTGTATGTTTATGTGCACATGGTTGTTGGACTGGGGTTGGGTTGAGGCGGGTCCTGCTTTGTGCTGTAGGCCAACATACCTAGGGCGAACCAGTTATCCCGAAGGCCCAACGAGCGATCCGAATAGGCTGTAGGCCCCACGAGGGTGGACCAGACGTGTTGTGGTTCGGAGAGTGGACCAGGCCGACTGAAGGCCCGGTGCGGGCGGACCAGTCATACTGTAGACTCAGAGAGTGGACCAGGTGGGTTGAAGGCCCGGTGCGGGTGGACCAACCACACTGCAGACTCGATGGATATGGCTAGACTCGGAGGGTGGACCAGGTGGACTGAAGGCCCGGTGCGGCGGACTAGTCACACAGTAGACCCGAAGTGCATGGTTGTTCTGTGTTCTGTTATGATATGGCATGTTATGTGAATGGTATATGGGGTTGGTATTTTGGGGGTATCTCACTAAGCTTTCGGGCTTACAGTTGTGGTTTAAATGTTTCAGGTACTTCAGGAGACCGTGGCAAGGCAAAGGCGTGATCGTACCGCTCCTCATGATTTATGTGTTTATGATGTGGTTCTGGGAAATACTTTGATAATAAATGTATTGAAAACCTTTTTGTAATAACTTTATGAAATTGGGTTGTTTTTGAAAAGTTTAAATTGATTGGAACTTTTATGGTCGTTACATATCTGCGATAGCCTAAGGTACTTACGATAGTAGTGGGACATAATGCTCCCCTTCTCTTCGTTCGTTAAGGCTTACGAGAAATCAAAGTAGACAAAATTAGGACGATATACAATGTGGATTAGTCAATATTCATTCGTTAAGACAATATAAAAATCAGTAATCACGAATACATTTCAACGAATACATTTCAGTAATCCGGGGAATTCAATACTACTCGTTCGAAATTTAATAACTATAATACAAAATACCTTTATATATATGTTTTTGAAATCACTCATGCATCAAATTATGGATCTTCACACTTTGATAAACAAAAGTCTTTTCAGAAAATAGCGAATTTTCTGGGTTTTACAAAACTACACAAATCATTTTATCACAACATTGCTTATGAACTCACCAACATTTCATATGTTGACGTTTTTTCAAAATAACTTGTATTCTCAGGTAACAGGTAAACGGAAGAGTAATAAGAAGTAATGTTAGATGTTATGTTGTTAAATGTACTCAAACAATTTATGCTATGAATGTGTAATGTTAAAACAATGTACTTAATGTGAACAATTCCAGTTGTAATATATTGATGCATGCATGATGACATTTATGTTATGATTCATGTATATTCATTGTGATGATATTCAATTAAAGTTACGTGATCCCTCAGATGTTTCCGTCGTCTGGTTCAGGGGTGTGACAGGTTGGTATTAGAGCATTGTTTATAGCGAACTAGCATATGTAACCACACATTGATATGCAACTATAAACCAAAAAGGGACAAACCCAACTCTGAACAAAACAAAATGAATAAAAACACAACTATAAAACATGTTTGCTTGTGTGAATTAGGAAACAAAATATAATACCAAACCAAACAAGATAATGCTATCATCTCGGGTAAGCCGGGACTGTACATGGTTGTATTAAGGAAGGAATGTAGCCTGATTAACTACATTTCCTCTGAAGTACAACTATCGCAGTCCCCGAGGAAACTGCGATAGTAAATAAACCTAACAACGTACCCCTTTATCACCAAAAAGAGAACAGGAACTTAATCTATACAATAATAAAAGCATCATAGGAGTAATGATAGTTATTCGCATAACCCTTCTTAGTCGATATGGAAGGAGAACACCAGGGCCTTCAGTTTCATCAAGTCCTAGTAGCCCACGGGAGGATCAAGAATGAGCCAGAGGTAGATCAAGGAGGAGCACACGACATTGGAACTGAAGAGGAACATGACGAATACGTAATAGTTAATTTCAATCTTGATGAACTGGGCCAGGAGTCAGACGAAGAAAAGGGCGTAGAGGAGGCACGCAGTGAACATCACCAGTCGGAAACCCCGCCAGATTCTCGCACGTTTCATGGGGTTGATACAGACTATCTACGCTCTCTCGAGGAGGCAATTATCAGCCTAAAGCTTCAACTTATTATGGCCAAGGCAAGGGTTGTGCGAGCCAAGCAAAAAGTAGAGGTAATCAACCAAGAAGTGGATGAACTGGCTGAACTTCTGATACGTCATCTCGACGATTGAGCGACGACGTCATTCTTACTCATAGGGCCTGCTCTGCTACCTGCTATATAGGCCTCACCGTATGGGAAATAGTTGTACCCGTCCTTAGTATTAGGCTTATGTGATCTATGCTATGTACCCCAACTCTATGTTTAAGTGATTAAACTACTCATAGAGTCGTTATGTTGTCGAACTTGCACTGCTTATGTATGCTCTTTAAAGCAAATTTTCATGTAACAAAGTACGAATATTATTAATGAAAAATATATGAGTTTTTGTTGTGATTACTTGTTATGTGCTATGCTTCTATGTTTATATGTTGATATACGAAACTACCTAAATACATGATATAAACCTAGTTTATAGGATCACAATCTCACAAAACCATAGGCACTCAACATCTTTCCGTTCCATGACAAAAAGATGCCTCGACGACCAACTCGCGGTAACCCTGGGCCAACCCCTCCAGAAGTTGACTCAGTTGCATTCCAAGCAGGTGTGTCTGCTGCGGTCACCGCAACAATGACACAGATTCACCAAGGAAACAATGGAGGAGTCAACGGACAAGGGGTAGGAAGTTCAAACAACGGGATCAATCAAGGACCAACCAAAACATGCTCCTACAAAGATTTCACCAATGCCAAGCCGCGAACCTTTAATGGAACGGGTGGTGTGATAGCCCTAAAAAGGTGGATTGAGAAGGTGGAATTAGTGTTCAAAATATGTGGATGCCCCGAGGAATTGAAAGTGAAGTTTGTCGCGTGCACCTTTGTCGACCAGGCTCTCACTTGGTGGAATGGACATATAGAGGCCATGACTCTCCCTGTAGCCAACTCTATGCCATGGACGAAGTTGAAGGAAATGATGATGGCTAAGTATTTCCCTCGTGGCAAAATCCAGAAGATGGAGCAAGAGCTGTGGGATCTCACTGTCCGAAACTCTGATATAGATGCATACATATCAAAGTTTAGCGAGCTGTCATTACTATGCCCTGGCATGATTACGTCTGAAGGAAAGAAGATTGAATGATTCATCTGGGGATTGACCTCCCCAATTCAAGGGAACATGATCTCTGCAAAACCTGAAATGTTCGACAGTATCAAGAGATTGGCCAAGAAGCTGTTCGACCACAACAACAAAAAGGGCGAGAAGCCAGCGGAAATCGAGGGAAAGAAAGAGAATGACAACAAGAAAGGAAAGAACAACAAGAGAAAAGGGCGACAAGGCTCGGAATCGGCAAAGAAGCAACAAACGGTGACGGTCAATGCTGCAACCACTCAAGTACCCTTCATACCACATGCTCCAACCTCAGCTAATTCAAGTGCTCCTAGGTAGTATTCAGGAACTCTTCCAAAGTGCAACAAATATGGTCTCCACCATAATGGAGAATGCATGGAAATGCATTGCACCAGTTGCAATCGGATGGGTCACACAACAAAGTATTGCAGGACCTATCCTCCCTAAAGTCAACTAAAAGGAAACAACAACAAAAACAGTAACAACAACCGAAAAAACAACAACAACAACAACAACACGGGATCAAGCCCCACTTGCTACAGATGTGGAAGGTCATGGAATATCCGTCGGAATTGCCCCAACACCAACAACCCTGGGAACGTAGGAACAAGAAGGGTGCTAGCTGTGGGTCAGGGAGAAGCGGTTCAGGATCCCACTGTTATTACCGGTACATTTCTCCTAAACCACACTTACACATGCATCCTATTTGATACCAGAGCAGAACGGAGTTTTGTGAGCAATAAATTCAAACACTTGTTAAATCAACAACCCCAGAAGCTTAATGAAACCTTCACGGTGGAAATGGCTAATGGGAAGACAGAATCTACTGGGGAAATCTATAGAGGATGTACCCTAGCCTTAAATCACCACGTATTTCAAATAAACTTAATGCATGTTTCCATTAGGAGTTTTGATGTGATTATCGGCATGGATTGGTTAAGCCCCCATTATGCTGAAATTATGTGTCACGAGAAGGCCGTTCGCCTTCATCTCCCAAATCACGAAACCCTAGTTGTTTTCGGGGATAAACCCAGCATGAACCTTCGTCTTATCTCGTGCATTAAAGCGCAGAAGTACCAACGAAAGAAGGACTGGACGTTCCTGGCTCACATAGTAGACAAATCCAAGAAAGAGGTCAGCATTCAAGATATCCTAGTAGCTTGTGAATTCTCGGATATCTTTCCTGATGATCATACGGGGATACCCCCAGAAAGAAAAGTCGAGTTTCGAATTGACCTTGTACCAGGAGCTACCCCCATCACCAAAGCGCCCTACAGATTGGCTCCTACGGAGATGCAAGAGTTGTCCAGCCAACTCAGTGAGCTTTTGGATAAAGGATTCATCCGACCCAATTTCTCACCTTGGGGAGCTCTAGTTCTCTTTGTCAAGAAGAAAGACGGTACATTCAAGATGTGTATCGACTACAGAGAACTTAACAAGCTCACTGTCAAAAACCAATATCCACTTCCACGAATCGACGACCTATTTGACCAGCTCCAAGGAGCTAGTCATTTCTCAAAGATAGATCTGCGATCTGGATACCACCAAATCAGGGTCCGGGAGGAGAATATTCCGCCTTCCGAACTCGTTACGGACATTATGAATTTTTTGTAATGCCCTTCGGTCTAACGAATGCTCCTGCCGCATTCATGGACCCAATGAATCAAATCTGCCTACCTTTTCTTGATAATTTTGTAATCGTTTTCATCGATGATATCCTAGTGTATTCCCGAAGCGAAGAAGATCACGACCAACATCTTTGACAAATCCTGGAAACCCTGCGAACCGAAAAGTTGTACGCAAAACTATCCAAGGGAGAGTTTTGGCTCCAAAGCGTGAACTTTTTGGGACATGTTGTTAGTCAGGAAGGAATTCATGTGGATCCTTCTAAAATCCAAGCTATCGAAGGATGGGCAATCCCAACAACACCCATAGAAATTCGTCAATTTCTGGGTTGTTATAAAATTGGGGTATGGAATGACTTGGAAATCCTGAGAATCGTGTTAAACACTTTCAGATTAAAGTATTTGGGTGGTACTCCAACCTTTAATCGGATAAGACTCATAAGAGTTTCTAGAATAGAGAATATGAAGTTATGATTTCGTGATTGTTCTTGTACCAGGAAAAAAATGACCAAAGAATGATTATGTATATCATTTGTATGAAAAACTGTCAAGGTAGGTTTCTTTGTCCAAAAACTACTCCAACTGTCAAAACGATTTATAACAGTCACAAACTATCACTAAAACCAGATCTTTAAAAAGGGTTAAAACGAAGTCAAAAAACCGGGTTTATTTATAGAAAATTCAGACAACCTAAGGTACTTACGATAATGGTGGGACATAATGCTCCCCTTCTCTTCGTTCGTTAAGGCTTACGAGAAATCAAAATAGACAAAATTAGGACGATATACAATGTGGATTAATCAATATTCATTCGTTAAGACAATACAAAAATCAGTAATCACGAATACATTTCAACAATCGGAAAACATTGGGTTTTACGGGGAATTCAATACTACTCGTTCGAAATTTAATAACTATAATACAAAATACCCTTTATATATATGTTTTTGAAATCACTCATGCATCAACTATGGATCTTCACAATTTGATAAACAAAACTCTTTTCAGAAAATATCGGATTTTCTGGGTTTTACAAACTACACAAATCATTTTATCACAACATTGCTTATGAGCTCACCAACATTTCATATGTTGAAGTTTTTCCAAAACAACTTGTATTCTCAGATAACAGGTAAGCGAAAGAGTAATAAGAAGTAATGTTAGATGTTATGTTGTTAAATGTACTCAAACAATTTATGCTATGAATGTGTAATGTTAAAACAATGTACTTAATGTGAACAATTCCAGTTGTAATATATTGATGCATGGTGACGTTTATGTTATGATTCATGTATTCGTTGTGATGATATTCAATTAAAGTCACGTGAGCCCTCGGACATTTCCGCTGTCTGGTTCGGGGGTGTGACAGATGTCAACGGGGGCAAACGGGACGCCCCCGCCCCCAAAAAATTTCTGTTCCCCGCCCCCGATTGATTTTGGGCTACCTTATTTGGGCTAAAAGAAGTTCTTGTTTGGGCTAAAGAAACTATTTTTTGGATAACAAATAGATATTTATAACATAATTTTACATGTTACAAATAACTTAAAAACATGTTTTTTTTAGAATTTTTGTACATAAAAATCATTTTATTGTTTATTGAATTTATTTAATTAATATATGTCAATTTATATAATTTATTAACGGGGTCCCCACGGGGTTTCGGGACGAGACTACCAACCCCCGCCCCGCCCCCGAAATCAAAACGGGGGTTAACCTTGCCCCCGTCCCTGATTTTTTTCAACAAATGCCCCCATACGGGTCGGGCCCCCCAACGGGATCAGGGTCCCACGAGACTTTTTGACATCTCTATTTGTGGTCCATTTAGATGCTTATTAGGTCTGGAATATACATTATATGTTTATTAGGCCTTTGTTGTCCTTTTACATGCTTGTTGGGCCTAGTAAACTTAAAACATACACAAAAACATTATTTATTGCGTTACATAGTGTAATACAAAATTCGCGTAAATTCAATTAAGACTCTTGTGAGACATTTCATTTATTTGTACCTATCTAGTGTACAATCGTTATCTCCTTGAGGGAGAGTGAGAGTTTGTGTATAGATCTATACGAGGTTGACACCCCACATCTGAGCTATTCGCTACAGTTAGACTAGGCCATTCTAGGGTGACAAACATTAACTTAAACAAGTCGGTGCCTGAAAAACGTCATGACAGGCGGATCAGTCATTATCTAGTATGTTATAACGAATCGCATTAAGATTAACTCCACTATAAAATTTACGGAATACATATACAGTTTTTATGATACAAAAGCATACATACATACACTGGTATCCGATCTTAGGGTTTTGAGACCACAACACTTTTATAAACAGAAAATATCGAATATTCTGGGAAAACATACAATTATACAGTA